GAGAGAGAGAGAGAGAGAGAGAGAGAGAGAGAGAGAGAGAATACCACTTGGCAATCTGTGTGCACATTACTCTGGCTTAAGAAGACCCCCCAGAACACTCCTCCATTGCTGGAGGGAGTGCAAACTTGTGCAGCCACTGTGGAAATCAGCATGGTGATTTCTCACACAATTGGGGATCAATCTACCTCAAGACCCTGCAATACAAAAGGATGCACATTCATACAAGGATATTTGCTCAACTATGTTCATAGTAACATTATTTGTAATAGCCAGATCTTGGAAACAGCCTAAATGCCCCTTCAACTGAGGAATGGATAAAGAAAATGTGGCACATTTACACAGTGGAGTAAGAAACAATGACATCGTTAAATTCACAAGCAAATGGACAGAACTAGAAAAAAACATCCTGAGTGAGGTAACCCAAAACCAGAAAGACAAATATAGTATGTACTCACTCATAAGTGGATACCAGACATAAAGCAAAAGATACCCAGCCTACAATCCATAACCCCAGAGAAGCTAGAACCCTCTTCCAGAAACAGATGGAAGCAGATGCAGAAATCTACAGCTAACCAATGGGCCGAGCTCCTGGAGTACAATCAAGGTGAGGGAGGAGTGATAGTATGAACAAAGGAGTCAAGACCAAGACGAGGAAACCCCCAGAATCAGCTGGCCCGAGCTAGTGAGAGATCACTGACTCAGGTCTGACAAATGGGGAACCTGCATAAACCAAGTCTAGACCAAACTAGACTCCCTTAATATAGGTGGCAATGGTGTGACTGGGACAATATATGAGGCCTCTGGCAGTGGGTACAAGATCTAACACTAATGCACAAACTGACTTAGTATAGCCCATTCTATATGGAGAGACACCTTTCCCAGCCTAGACACAGGAGTGTGGGGGTGGAGAGGGGCCTTGGTCCTGCCTCAATGAGATGATGGGACAGACTTAGGAGACTTCCTAGGGGAGGCCTTGCCTAGGAAAGAGGGAGGAGAGGAGGAAAGGGGAACTGGGATTGGAATGTAAAAAATAAAATAATAAATGCAAAAGAAAGTAAGACCACCCCCAAAAGTAAGGGACAGTATTATTCTGTCCTCAGACCACAAGAATGGATATTTCGGGTTCCTGAGATAGGAAAATTAACTAGCTTAAGCAAAAAACCAGGCAATTGGCTCGTGCTGTGGGAAGATCTGGTTTCAGACATAGCCTGCCTTCACTGTCAAGCAGTTGTGTTTTTTTTTTCCCCCTCTGTCTCCATCCTGCCACCCCCTCAAGTGGCCTTCATCTTCATGTTCTGTTTGTCAACAAGATTACCACGGAAGTCCCAGCCTCTGGTCCTTTGAGGTTTCTCCAAGCCAGTGGGGAGAATTAAACCCACTTGCCTCCTAGCTTAATCCAAAGTCCCAAGAGTGTGAGCCTTCTGGCGCAGAGGAGCCTGGTTTGGGCCAGGTGCCAGGCACTAAGGCTGGGACTGCTGTTTGGTCTTGGTCACACCGATCCCCTGCAAGAGGGTTCACCAGGAGCAGTGATGGGGGTGGGAGTGTCTCTAATGAAAACCTGGCACCAGGGGAGATGGAAGCTTGTGGGCATGCTTGTGCACAGAAACAGCAGGTATCCACCTGGCCCATCCTGCCTTTCTGTCACAGCTCAGTGTGACAGAAGGTGAAAATGTGAGGGGAACCCTGAGAGTTGGGCAGGCATGAGGCCAAAACTGCAAAGGCATCTGGCTGCTGGTAGACTGGGCCTGGGAGGTTACCTGGTGAGGAGGTGTGTGCTCCCAGACGAGCAAGGTGGCCAGTCCCGCCTTCCTCTTTCAGAGGTCCCATCTGGGAGGCTGTGACTACCCCACTCCCCACCCCGTGAGGATACGCCAGTCATGGGTCCCCTAAACCATATCTCTACAAGCATTCCAGCTGAAAGAGATGAAGTATATGAACCCTAAGAGGTCACGCAGATGCTGGGTCTCCTTCAGGCCGCCTGCTTTTTAAATGGTTCTGCTCCACAATGCTCTATGACAGTCCAGGGCTGCTTTCCATTTGCCAAATCAAACGGGACTTAGCAGCTGTATCTGGACCCAGCTGGCTGGGTACCTTTTGAGAAATTTGTGGCTCCCAGTCCTAGACAAGTGAGGTCTGGATGGCAGGAACGTGTGAAGGAGGAGGCGTTCCCACAGACCTGGGCTAGAACAAACAGTGCCAGATGGACCACTGGTGGCCTGGGAAATGGTGAGGCTCACAGGAATGAGAAACCTATTGGGGTGGGAGGGACACAGTGGCCACCCTCTGCTTAGACCTCTGTCTTGATGGTGTAGAGAGCTCCCGGCTGTCTGGGTGCAGAACAGTCACTGGTGTCGACTCTCTTAGAACACGGGTCCCGTTCTATGTCCTTGGATGCTGCAGGCCAGGAGGTCCCCTTAAGGGGAGGAAATAAAGGGAAGCCTCCGTGTGTCTATGTTGTTTCTTCAGCAGGTTTATGTCAACAAGGCTGGATCAGGGGTGGGGACTGATGTCCACTCTCCATGCAGAGACTAAGTGCAGGGTGAGATGGATGAAAGGGAAACCTGGAATCTCTAACTGTGAGGTTTCCCCCTGTGAGCTTGACCTAGAGCCCTGGTGGAGACTGTGAGTTCCACACGGGATGGTCACCATAGCCTCAGACTCTCCAGCCCAGGCAGGGATGAGGAAACTGACAGAGGATTGCCAAGAATGGCGGCCACTTCCTAAAGTCAGAGGCGGAGGAAGCTGCCTAGTCCAGCTGCTCACCACAGAGGCCACCACCTTCTGCACACCCACAAACCCTCAACACCTGTCACTTCCCGCTTGATCCCAGGCAGCTGCCAGTCAGACTCATGTCTACCCCAGTGCCATGCATTGCCATGCTGCCTGTCACCCAGCCCTGCTCCCAGGCCCGGGCGATCTGGCGGGCAGAAGAGAAGCAAGGGCTCCTCCATCCCCCTCCGACTCTCCAGAGGCTGGTGGGGTCTGGGGACTTCTTATGGGGCCTCACTGACTTGCTTAAGCCTCCCCGGTCCTCATGGAATCTGTTTTAGCTTTTATTTTTCTGTGGTGAAGGAGGTGGTGCAAGAAGGGTCGGTATTCCTGCCCCATCTTCATGAGCAAGAATGAACAAAGGTTATGTAGACCAAGGAGATGCTACAGCCAGACTCCTTTGTTCTGCCCCGGCTTGGCCCCAGGAGCTCGAGGCTGGTGTCCAACGTCCCATAACAGGGAATCACTCACATGGCGCCACAGGACAGAGTAGCAGAACTTGTGATCAGCTCAGGATCCTAGGGAAAAGGCTCTTTGACCGTTGCCTGGGGTTGTGACTCTCCCAGAGTCAGGATCCATAGAGGAGCAGCTGGGAGCCCAGAAGCTTGAGATGGTCCTCAAGGCAGAATCTGGGGTTAGAAAATTGCCTAGGGCTTAGGTAGGGGTACAGTCTGGGGCTGTTGGGTACAAACTGGAGCTGGGCTAAGGGCTCATCTGGGCCTAGGTTAGGTTCATTCTGGGGCTAAGAAGTGTCGTAGACGAAGGTTGGGGTGGGGTTCAGTCTGAGGCTATGGTGAACATCCAGCGTGGAACTCGGATCCTCAGGATGACAGCTGGCTCAGCCTTGGCTGGCCCTGCTCAGTCCCCTGCTCCTCGAATCTGTGGATAAGGCTGACATCTCTGTGTGCTTTGTCCTCAGGGCAGCTGGGCAGCCAGCCCACAGCAGGAGTGTGAGTACCTGCAGATGATCGAGATACAACGCCAGCAGTGCCTGGAGGAGGCCCAGCTGGAAGATGAAACCATGGGTGAGTCTGGTGGAAGCAGGGAAGTCGCAGGTTCCCTCCTGTCACCAGCCCCGTCCAAAGCACAACTGTTCCCTCCTTCCACAACGGTCAGTTGGATGGGGATCAAGAGCAGGGATCCCCACAGGGCTCCAGGTCTCAGAAGTCAGGGAACCCACAGCAGAAGGGCCAGAGGCCTCCATGCTTTCCTGGCCCCACCCAGGTCTGGAGAGTTCCCAGCTCTTATCTGGGAAGGACATGGCTCTGAAAGCACAGACAGTTCTGCCTTTTCAGGGTCCAGCCACCCCGGGCTGGGCTACCTAAGGGAGGAGATCTAGGGTGCTCAATGGCAGAGACTTTCCATGATGAGCCAGGTGGGTTCCATGAACCCTTGCCTCTCCCCAACCCCACGGGAGCACCCTTGACCCCTGACTTACCTAGAGCATAGGTGAGACCAACTGGCCAGACCCTGCAGAGACCATCAGGACAAATGAGAGCTCTGTCTGCTTGGCTTGGTTGCCCAGGGTTAAGCAAGTTTGAAAAGGTGGGCAGGTCTGGGGAAGCAGAGGGGCTGGAGGGTGGGAGAGCCAGCATGGCGTGGCAGAGGCAGAGAGGCAGCGAGGCCTTCACCCTAGGTCATCTCCCAGGCTGTGCTTATGGTTACATAATGGGAGTGGGAGCACCTGTTCAGCTTGCTGGCTCCTGGAGCTGTTATGCAACCTTTTCGGGTTCCTCTTTTACTGTGGTGCAAAGGCCTCCGGTGCTTGTGAGTGTGTGTGGCTATCTATGTCACAGATGGGCCTGGCCTGAGCCACACTCTATAGCAGGGTGGCCCCTGACTCCTGTGATCCTGAGACTGAGGCCTGGCTCAGTAGGTGACTAGGTCCGCCTACTGCCTATATGCCCTACCCTATGCAGCAGGCCTCAAGATCGTGGGGGAAGCCCAGATTCCAGGCCCTGGTCCCCACTGCAGCTCCTCTCCAGACCTGTCCCAAGAGTGGGGACTGGCCACCCTCATGAACCCAATGAGGTCACTGCTGGCACAGGGTGCCTGTAGAGTGCCAACACCCAGTACATAGCAACCAGACTGGGACCTGGAAGAAGGCAGGCACAGGTGTGCAGATTTGGGGTCTGCCCTGACTGTTGTTGAGGCTCTGTTCATGTCCACGTGGGCACCCCTGACCCATGTCTGCCTGAGGCTGTGCCTGGCCTTCTAGACGACCGCTGCCTGCTTCTGAGAGTCTGTGTGTGAGTGCATCAGTGTGTCTTCAGTCTGTGTACTGTGTCTCTCTGTGTCTGCTCACTTGGTGACCTCCCCGTGCCCATTCATGTATGTTTGCATGTGTGTCTGGGGTGAGTGTGTCTGGAAGCACATGTGAGTATGTGTCTTTATATATAGGAAATGATGTCAAATTGACTTACGGGGGCTTTGTGCCTGCCTGGCTCTCTTCATGTCAGCCTTAGTTGCTTTTCCTATTGGGATCTTAGCCCTGAATGGGCACATGGGGAAGTCTCCCAGACAGTCATTTCTAGAAACCAAGCATTTTCATGATGTCATTCTTCCATGCTCCCCAGCCAGACTGCCCCAGCAAAACCAGCCCTGAGGCACCCCTGCAAGGAGCTTCCCAACAGACACCCCTACAGGATTCTCTTCCTCAGTTCCCCTGTCTGCTTGCTGAGCTGGGCCCAGCACCAGTTCGCAGCATGGCCTTGGCTGTGCGGCACTTCTCTGAGGTCAAATGCAGCGTCCCCACAGGGCACACACAGCCTAGCACCCTTCTCTTCCTTCCCACCTCTAGTGAAGCTGAGCACGTGACCCAGCACCGCTGACCCCCACTCTTCAGCTCGGGTTGGCAACTCTGAAAGCCCGAGGTCTGGCAGACACCCAGACACAATAGCTGGCCTGCAAAACAGGGTGTGCCTAGCACTGTCAGCAAGGGCACATAAAGTCCCAGCGGCCAATTTCCCAGAGAAATGCTACCAAGCCTTGAAAACCAGGAGAGGAATTGTGAATAGGCGCGAGGCTCGGCCACACCTCATCCTGCCGCCTTGCCTCCGTTTCCTCATCTGTGAAATGGACGGGTTATATAAGCTAGTTATTTAGAGACTGAAACAATGTTGGGACATTCCAAACCTAGTGCTTGCTGATGTTAACTGAGACAGGGTCATACATAAACCATGAGCAGATTTTCCCAGCCCGAGGGCCTGTTATACATCCTCCCAGGAGCAGAAGATGGACCATCAGCCCAAGCAAACCATGGGACTCGGGATAGATGAGGGGACATGTCAAAGTGCCAGGCCCACAGGAAGAGAGGCTGCATTCTGGGTGACTTCCTTATCCTTGGCTGCAGGGGGCTGGTGGCTCCCCGCCCCCCGGGGGCCCCGCGCCCCGCCCCCCCGACCCCCCT